TTTAATATATCTGAGATGCTACCTAACATTTTAGATAAATTAATATTAATTTTAGTCTCTGATTGCGTGGTTTAGATGCAAGCACACCTTAGAGACTCAAATCTAAAATGAGAAAAATGCTGATAATATTTTTTAAAGTAGAACTAGTAAGATTTTCCTATTTACTGTTTTGTGTCAGCAGGTGCTGAATAGCTTTGTGTTGTAGATGATGGCTCATGCTATTTTTGTCATGATGTGCTGTGCAGGCAGGCAGGACTGGACCCAAACGCTGGACTCGTAAACGGGAGGTTAAACTCAAAACGCGATTTTATTAACAGAAAGGCAAAGGCCGATACGAAACTACACTGGGAAGAACTAAAACTAACTCACAAGGAGGCACGGGGAAACCACGGGGAAATGCACACAACACTGAGGGACGAAAGTGCATCAACTGAGGGGCGAAATGGAACAGAGGGAGATTCTGACATAAATACACAGAAGGTAATGAGGGATGTGGGAACACACGGGGAGCACAGCTGAGGACAATTACGCATAACGAGACAGGGAGGACACGGAACTGAAGATACTGACCCAAGACGCAGACTTTAAACGTAACACAGGAAGAACACAGATGCAGAGAGGAGGGAGAGAGAGAGGGCACAGACATAACGGGCTGGGGAAACATGGAATAAAACACGAGGGGAAACAAGGCACAGGAACTCAGAGCTATATGAACACAGATACACAGAGGGAGACACAGGAGCAAAGACACGGGGAGATCTAACAACAAGACAGTCTTGATCCCCAAGGACCCCCAGAAGGGACCAGTACCATCCAACTATCGGCCAATAACCTTTCTCAGTACCACATGGAAGCTCCTGTCAGGCCTCACTGTGGCTAGCACGAACAGACACATGGCTTAATATATGAGTGGGGCACAGAAAGGAATTCACAGGAATACCAGAGGAGCGAAACACCAGCTACTGGTAGACAGAACAGTTGCCCAAGACTGCAAGACCAGACTGACAAACCTGTGCATCGCCTGGATTGACTACAAGAAAGCCTATGACTCGATGCCCCACACATGGATCCTGGAACTATACAAGATCAACAGGACCCTTGGAGCCTTCATCAGGAACTCAATGGGAATGTGGCAAACAACACTAGAGGCCAACTGTAAGCTAATGGCACAAGTCACCATCAAGTGCTGGATCTATCAAGGAGATGCTCTGTCCTCGCTGCTGTTCTGCATAGGCCTGAACCCCCTCAGTGAGATCATTGACTAGACTGGCTACGGATACCAACTACATAATGGAACAATCGTGAGTCACCTCCTTTACATTGATAACATCAAGCTGTATGCCAGGAGTGAACAAGACATCGAATCACTGATCCACACTGCAAGGAACTACAGCAACGACATCGGAATGTCATTCGGACTGGAGAAGTGTAGTTGGATGGTAACAAAGAAAGGGATGGTAGTCGAAACTAAGGGGACTACACTACCAGAAGGCAACATTGCACCTTGAACCTGCTAGGAAAGCCGTAACCACCAAATACCTGCCCCGGGTCAGGCAAATCCAGAGGAGTCAGCTGAATGGCAAGAACAAGATCTGGGCTATCAACACTAGTGAGTGTTAGAGACACTGTCCAGGATGAGACAACGAACATCCAGTATGTGTATTATTATTATTATTATTATTATTGTTATT